AGTGTCCTTCAGGTGATCCTGACTGACTGACAGCACACACCTAAAAACCAAGGTCTTCATGCCCCTAGGACTTTTCCAGAAAGACCTGTGAGCCTGGAGCTGGAGAGCTGGCTCAGCAGTTAGAACACTGGCTGCTTTTGCAGCAGACTTGAGTTGGCAACTAACAGCCATCCCATAACTCCAATTCCAGGGGATCTGATATTCTCTTATGGCCTCTGCAGGCATAGATGCACTTACATACATGTAGGCAAAGTACTCATACACATAAAAAACTAATTTTTGAAAAAGACCTTTGAGTCTGACAATGGGGCGATCCCATCTCATCCTAGGGACCCCAGCGTGAGTCTCCCATGACTATAATTGTGCTCTTGAAGTATTCATAGCAGTGTCCTGACAAAGGGGTGTTTACTGCTCCAAAAGGTTCAGCTGGGACCTAATCACTCACCTATGCTCAGAGCTAATCCTGAATTCACCCACAGGCAGGAGGGCCATGAAGACATGAATCCATCTCTTTCTAACCCAAAGGATATTTGTTGGAGTTTTAGCCCAGAAAGACATTTTTCCCTGATGGAAGTCAAAGCCTACTAGATCATATACTGCCGAAGGGAAAGGGCTGTCCTATTCTCCTGTAAGTCCCCAGGCCTTTACCCTACATAGCTGTTCCTTCAGCATACAGAGGAGGAGTAGCCCTCAGGAAAGCAGATGTGCTGTGCTGACCCTCAGAACTCCAGCCCCCGGCCTTCCTGCCGTCATCCAATTCACAAAGTACCAGGTGCACTGTTAATGGAACCCTTAGCCAAAGGCTGCATAGCCACATGCCCATCAGCAGCATCCTGAGGATCAGAAACATGATTTCTATGCAAAGGTGCCCAGCCCACTTCTGCTCCGTTCCTTCTGTGTTAAAGCCTTTCTGGTCTCCCTCAGAGGCAGTGGACCACAAGAACATGAACTTGGAAGTCAAGAGACCTGAGCCCCACCCTGAGCCCATCCTTCTAGCACAATGTACCATACCAGCGGAAGGCACTGAATGGGTGGCTACCTCTTGCTTTTGTTCCATATAAGCAGGTGCCAGTGCAGCTCTGGGCCCTGGGCTGCTTATAGGGAGCCACGGTCGGGGTTAGGGGTTCAGGGAGCACTAGCCTTTTGATAACAACTATCAATCCTCCTGGCCAGCTCTGTAAACTCCTTGGGCCCCAACTCACTGCTATGAGCCACATTCACTCAATTCTGGGTGCAGCTTCCCACTGAGGCTGCTTTCTGGAAAAGAGTATGTTTTTCTAAATTAGTCTTTCCTAGCCTTTTCCTTCATCCCCTCTTCCCACCTGAGTTGCCACCATTCAGCCCCTACAGCCTGCTCTAATCCTCCCCAGAATACTCAGCTCTCCTTCCGTACTCATCTTTATCCCCTATTTAGCTGGCATTGTCCTAGCATATCTGGGAAATTGCAGCCACCATAGCCAAGCAGTCCCACCACTTCCTCCCCCAGGAGGCAGAAGCTTCCTCCTGACCTGTCAGAATTACCCTCATGGTGAGGATGCTAAGACCCAGTGTTTACCAAAGTTACCTGCAATGAGCCAGCCTGGAGCCTGGCCTCTGGGAGAACCAGAAGGGCTCCCCACAGATCCAGTGTTTTAGCATCCAAAGTCTAAGAGAGACTGCTCACCCATGCATGTTCCCTTGGCAATCCTCCAGGTGCTTGCCTGCCTCCTCACCAGTCCCCAGGGCTCCACACACTTCATGGCAAAGTGCCCTGATAATTCAGTATACACCCCTGGGAGCTCCCTTTTCTCCTCCTACTGACCACTCTGGGAAGGTGTCCCTGGCCTATGTTCCCACAGCCATGTGCTCAGGATTAGTGTATATAACTTCATCCTCAGTGATGATGGCCTGTTAGGAAAAATGCCTGATGTCAGAGGGGAGGAATGTGGGGCCCTATTCTTGATTGCTTAGGTTAGGTTGTGTTTTTACCTATCTGGTCATGCTAGGACATCTTTACCACATTACCCCTTGACATCTTTAAACTCCCACTCAATCCTGTCCCCTTTTGGGCTAGGCATGGCCACCAAGCTACTTTCCTGACCCTTTGTAAGTTCAGTTGTGAAAAAACCAACACATTCCCATGACAATCACAGGAAAATAAGGTACTTAACAGGACTCTGTAGAACAAACATGCTTTGGAGATAGAGATGTAGCTCAGTTAGTAGAGTACTGAAGCCCTGAGTTCAGTCCTTGGTACTGCATAAAACCAGGTATGATGGCACACACCTGTAATCCCAGCACTCAGGAGGTGAAAGAAGGAGGATTGGAAAAGTGCAAGGTCATCCTCAACTACATACCAAGTTCAAGGCTAGCCAGGGCTACATGAGCCACTGTCTCAAAAAAAAACCCCAAAAACTTCTAGCATTTCTTGGGTTTCAATGTGTCCCAGTAACTTTAAGCCCAAAATCACTCAGTGCCATGAAGTGGCCAGTCCTAGGGTGCTGGTGCTGACAACTTGCATACTGGCTTGGGGTAGCAGATTCTGGAGGGCTCTGAATGCAGCAGCCATGTGTCAGTGTTTCAGGGAAAGCAAGTCTGTTCTAATGAATTTAGAACACAGAACTTTTTTTTAAAAAGATCATAGATTTGGGCCTGGCTGAATGGGGTTGAGTATTTGTGAGATGTGGCAGCCTTGGCTGTGTTGATAGACATGGTAAGGATCCAAACAGCACACAGCATTTCCCAGACTGATGTGGCTGGGGCACCCTGTCTCCCTTTCCCACAATGCATCCCCTAAGGCCATGTTTCTCAGGAGACACCTTGAGAGATAGCCACCTTTCAGTGAGATGACATAAGTTGGCAAGTGGTGTGATGAGGCATGTTTTTAGAGTACAGATAGATTGGGAAAGGGAAAGACTAGTGCTGGAGAAACTGCCAGTGGTGGTAGCTGCTGGTATCTAGAGACAGATGTGCAAGAACCTGACACCCATGATCTCTCTGATCCTTCCTAACCTCCAGAGTAGAGAGCTCCATTACTTCATAGATAGGGACAGGGAAACTTGGAATGGGTACATCCCAGCCCAGAGTAACTTGGGGAATGGGTGGTCAGCTTGTGTCCAAGACTGTCTGATGTCAGAGGCCACCAGCTGAGCACCCTGCCATGCTACCATCCAGCAAGGATGGAAATAGCCCAGGCTACCACCCAGCAGGGATGGAAATAGCCCAGGCCAGAGGTGACAAGCACTGAGGACAGTGGGATTGGAGAAGATGGTTACTGGGAAGTAGAACACCACTCATAAAAGAAACAGGAGGTGGCAGGGTTGGGGCAGGACACCCAGCCTGAAGGAACAGCCTGTGTACCCTCCCCATCCTCTTCTTTCTGCTCTTTGACTTGGAAGTTCTGTCCCCTTATGCCCCACATACTTCCTGTAAGCCACAAAGGGAGAGAAATGTGACAGCCATGTCCTTCTCTCTAGGCAATATCCCCAGCTCCCACCTAGCCACCAACTGCAGAAGGGTCACCAGGCAGCTTGGCCTTCACATCCAGCCAATCACGAAGGATCTGGGAAGCCACAATTCATGTCTACCCACACCTGCTCTCCACGAGCTGCAAGGGAACACAGGCCTCCACCGAGCCCTTCTGGCCCTGTGCTGGGCACAAGAATTCAGGGATGTCTGTGGCACAGGCCCTGCCCTCTAGGAGTCCGGTTTAGAAAATGAGTTCCAAGTCAGGTTTGAGATCCCCCAAGTGAAGCCTGAGTCAGCACGGGCTGAGAAAAATGTAACGTAAGCCACACAGGCAAATCACATGGGGAATTCTGAGTGTTTAAGACATTTAAAAAGTAAAAGGAACAGGTGGGGTTGATTTTAATAACATATTTAACCCAAAATCCAAAAATATTATCATTTCAACACGTAATCAGTATAAAAATTATTAATGAGATGTTTTGCATTCTTTTCAAAGTCTCTGAAATCTAGTGTGTATTTCACACTTTCAGCACATCTTAATTTGGACCCTCCACATGTGGCCATTGGCTTCCATGTTGCCATTGCAGGCCTAGTCATTATTAAATGGTGATGCGTCTTTGTGAATTAAGTAACTGAATGGGGGAGAACCAACTGGAAGCCTGCAGGGCTTGCCAGGACTCTGTGCTCCTGGATTTGTGTACATCTTCACTGTCTCCTACTCTGCCTGCCCGTTTTCCACTTTTGTTCAAGATATGCATGTGGGCTGTTGGGAGGACAAAGCTTGACTTTTGAGATAAAAATTTTTCAAGGAAGGCTGAGAAGTTGGTCCTCGATTAGTTTTGAGTCACATCGTGATTTTAAAAACCCAGCATTTTCTGCACACTGTTTTTGTTCACCAGACTTTTACTGAACAGATATTTTCCCCCCACATCTCTTCCAACCTTCTTCAGGCACAGCAATGAATCCCTCCAGGAAACAGACTATTTCAGATAGGAGCACTAGGGTAGAGGGTCAGGCACTCCACACTCAGTAAGGGGTGTGTAAGTCAGTCACATGGCACTGGAGGCCTTGGATACCCAGAGGCCTGGAAACAGCATCTGACCTGAACAGGGCCTTGAAGGACAAGCCCACATTTGCCAGGCCAATAGGAATGCCCTCCTCTAGGGGTAGGTAGAAGAACAAGGCATAAGAACCCAGTGCCACATAAGGGTCTTCCCAAGATGGGAAAGGTCTGCATAGTACCAGCAAGATCCAGGAATGCCAACCAAGAACAAACTGTCACCTGAGGACAGGAGGGGACATTGGAGATTTTGAAAGTGCAGTGTGGTGTGGCGTGATCATACTGCCATTTAGAAGGTTTCCTTGGCCTGTGTGGAAGATGGAGGATATTGGAGCAGAATGATCCAGGCCAGAGACAAGGCCAGGACTAAAGAATCAGCAGAGGAGGACACAGGCTTTGGCGTGGGTGCCTGCAGGTTTCTCCCAGGCCTATGTGGAGATGCATGGAACCATCTCAGTGTGTACTGATGTTTTAAGTTTCCACTTTAATGCAGCCACAAAGACTCTGCCCTACTCGGCCGCCGCCTCCCAAGATCCAGCGCTCAAGGCCCGTGAGTAGCCGGTGGTGTGCCCTCCCCGCCTAACACTGCCTGACCCCTCTCTCCCGGCCTCACTAAACCTCGGGAGTGTGGACTCTCCTGCCTGGCACAAGGAAACCGGGAAATGGGTTTTTCAGCTTCCCTTGCTGTGTGGCATGAACCTGAACTTGCATTTTCTGGGCTTCTCCTCTTTTTCTGAATCAGTTCAGTGACTTGTAGGTCAGAGCCATAGGTAGCCCAGGCTGCTGTGTTCAGTATTCACATCATTTAAGTGAATCTCTCAGAGAGAGCTGTATTGCTAGCCAACAAGTACTAAAGGCTCACTCCAAATGCCTCTTCTTCACAAAGGAAACTGGAGTCTGACAGCAGGGCTTTCATTCCCACCACGTCTTGGTTGGGAAATGTATTTGCTGATCATCCCAAGGGCAGAGAACATTGTGCCCCTGTAGATGAAGACAGATACTGTGCCCTGCCAGTTCTCACAAGGAGAGCTACCTATGCACAAAAAGTGCCAAGGAGGGGTGGATAAAACAGGACAAAGTATGATTAACCACCAACACCTGGGATCAGGGCACTACAGAGAGAGGTCCATCCAAGTGTTTCAAAGAGAAATATCAAGGGCTGGAGATGTGGCTTAGTGACAAAGTGCTTGCCTAGCATGAACAAGGCCTTGGGTTTGATCTCTAGCACCACAAAATAAATACATGGGGATAAGGGAGATCCCATGCTGAGCATCAGTGAGCTTGTTTTGACCTTCGCATAACTTCAGCAAGTGTCTCAGAGTGAGAAACTTACTGATAAGGGTTGCTTACTAAGGGAAGGGTTTCTAGTCTACTGCTCAAGGCAGCCATGGCCAAGCAAAAGGGTCAGCTATGGTCAAAGCACCTCACAATCTGGTGCCCCAGCCCTCCCCAGTGCATGCCTCCAGATCCATTTGGTAAAGGCACAGAGGCCAAACCATGCAGGGACAAGACTGAACCAGATGTTTATTGTTGTTTTGGTTTGGTTTGGTTTTTGTGACAGCGTCTCCCTGTAACCCCAGCTGGCCTGGATCCCAATATGTAGACCAGGCTGGCCTCAACCTCACAGAGAGCCACATGCTTCTGTTGGGATTAAAGGGTAGAGGTGGAGGTGTTTAGATTGGCTTCACCTGTGAGTTGTAAATCTGCCCTTCCAGCCACATGAGGCACTGTGCCCCCATCAAAATGTGATTTTTCCAAATCCTGTACTAGGCACTCCTGTGGCCACTGTCTCACCTGTCCTTTTTCCAGCCTGTAGAAAGCAGATGCTAGTTCCCCCGTTTGTAACAAGACCACAGAGATGGTAAGAGGCCATGCTGGCCTTTGAGACCTGCCTCCTAGTCCTACCAGATAACTTCTGGCAACCACAGGCAGGTCGTGGGGACCTCTGACAGCCTTAGAGGCCTGTGCTTCAGGGCAGCCAGGGGATGAACATGGTTGCTCCTGGTGGAAAGACTCAAGTATTGGAGACAGCTCCAGGGCACTGTAGTCTCCCCATTAAGGAACTCTAATCTCTCCACTCTGGTGGATTGTAGGGTGCCCATGTACCTGAGAACTTGGAGAAGCAGATGTTGCCCCAAGAGAAGACTAGGTAACAGCAGCCTCTGCCCCTGGTCTGGACAGGAGGTGACTGGCTGTGCTCTTTGGTCTCCCCCTCCTCTCAGGGAAGGCCACAAGAGACAGGGTGGAAGCCCTAGATGATTTGTGCTCTCCGTGCTCCAGTGTCCCCCAGCCATAGGGACAATTTTTCATTATGCATACATCTGTGTCAGCATGTCCAGTGGACACCAGTCTACCCTGGGTGGGAAATAGGGAAACCTGGGGCATGGAACCCTTGAGCCTTGAAGGGCCTTAAAAAGGACAGCCTGTTATGCTTCCTTGTGGGGAGCCTTGGGCCATAGCCAGGCTTTGCTAGGTCATTGGCTGCAAACATCTGGGTAGCCATGAGGCTTCTGGCCTATGTGGTGAGGCCATGGGGCACTAGGCACTCAGTCTTGACAGCAGGAGCCTTGTAGCCCAGCACCTGTGGCTAGAGTTCAGCTATAACCAGAGGATTTGAGGTCTCTTCTTAATAAGAAGATGGAAAGAGCAAAAGAAAACCATGCTGGTGTCTCCTGGATGAAGGGCAGTGGCTGGAGCCCTCCGGGGAGAGGCAGGCTGTCATCAGCCTGCATGCAAAGCACTTTATAAGCTCTGTATTTATTATTTCTTGCTCACCATTAAAATCAAATGTACTCAATGCTTTTGTATTCAATACACATTTAACCCTGCCGACTTAGATTTCTCAGGTTTTAAATCCGGTGGGGAATTGGCTGGCTTCCCAACTTTCCCCTCCAGTCCCCTGAACAGAGCTGAAAATCCCTATTTAGCATTCTCTCCCCTGGCACTGCTGGGATCCTAGCAGTGGTGGGCCAACCCCTGTTCTGTATGAAGGTTTTCTCCTCCACCCAGCCCCCACCTTTCCCAGGCACCCCAAAAGAGGGAGGTGACTGCTGAAATACAACGGAGGTGTCTGCATCGTCTTGTGATTCAGCTTTAATTAAACCATTTTGCCTGTGTATGTCTGGGCCTAGTTGTGTCTGCCACTATGTGTGCGGGTATGTGTGTGTGCCTGTGTGTGTGTGTGTGTGTGTGTGTGTGTGTGTGTGTGTGTACACGCTGTCACCTCTTATGCATGCCTTTGTGGGTGTCTATATGTGAGACTGTATACATTGCGTTCTCTGGGCCTTGGTGCATCTGGGTATGATGATAATTCTACACCAGTGAGGGTGTGTGACTCTGGGTGTGTCTGTAACTGCAGGGGTGACTGTCTCCTGGTCCGTTGTGTCTTTCCCTCCCTCCCTGCCCCCCCCTCCCTCTCCCTCCTCTGTCTGTTTTATCATCCCTAATGAAGCAGTCTCTTCCATCGATCCTGCTGATTGCCAACCCATTCCTTTTGTTTGTTGGCGCTGAGCCATTCAGCGGCACTCTGACAGCTCAGCTCGTCTAATTAGCTCTGTTGTTCTTTTTCCCCATGTTTTACCACGTTGCAAGTTCAGTTGAAGTTGCCACAAACTTAATCCCCCCATTTCAGCAGCAAGTTCACATTCTTAACCCGCCTTTATTGTAGCGAGGAGCGGCCCTGTGCAGGACAAACCGACAGGCCTTAATGTCTGACCTTTCCTGTGCATAGTCCCCAGGACCCTGGCAGGGGCAAAGGAGCTCCTCCACCCAGCTGCACTCCCCACCTTTGTAGGGGATCCGAGGGACCAGTCTGCAGCTGGGGAAACCAGCTCAAATGAGGAGAGGCAACTACATCCAAGCATCTCTTCAGCATATGTTGACCAAATGTCTGTTAGGTGGCAAGCACCATTCTAATAACAGCAACAATAGGGCTGGAGAGATGGCTCAGAGGTTAAGGGCACTGGCTGCTCCTACAAAGACCCCCAGGTTAGAATCCTAGCACCCATATGGTGGCTAACAACCATCCAAAACTCCAGTTCCAAGGGATTAACTCCCTGTTCTGTCTTCTGCAGGTACTACACGACATGGGTGCACTTACATACATGTAAGCAAAACACTCATACACATAAAATCAATAAAATAGCCAGGCGTGGTGGTGCACGCCTGTAGTCCCAGTAGTTGGGAGGCAGAGGCAGACAAATCTCTGTGAGTTCAAGTCCAGCCTGGTCTACATAGTGAGTTCCAGGAAAGCTGGGGCTACAGGGAGACCCTGCTTCAAAAAAAAAAAAAATCAATAAAATAAAATCTAATAACAGCAACAATATAGTGTCGCTCTTAGATTCCAGACCAGCATTCACATGTCTTCAAATCCTCACAAGCTTCCTCTCTACCAGATAATATTCAGGATGCCCAAAACTATAAGACCATCTAAATTCTATTTTCTAGGCACCTCCCACCCTTCCTTTGATCATTGATAAGTGGGGGGGGGGGCATCTCTGTTACAGGCCCACACTATGGTGTTACCTGAACACTGTGGTTGAGTCTTCACAATAGCTCCATGGAAGAAGATAGCATATTTGGTGGAATGCATTTGGCCTTTACTACACCTCCATTCTGCCAAACAAGGCTGAGCTCAGACTGGCCGCTACACAGGAAAACTTTGGTTCTGTCAGACGTGCGTAGACCTGAGGGCTCCTTGAGACTCTATCAAGGCTTCTCTTGTCTGCATCAACTTCTGTAATCTTGTTCCTAAGCCACTGGGTTGTGTCATCCACAAACTGTAGGTGATGGGGGTGTTCTGGAAAAGGGCAGCAGGAAATGGAGTGCATGCTCTCCTTTCCCTGCTTTGTCTGTAGTTCTCAGCCAGTGTGGTACCACAGCTGTAGTGAAAGTAAGCCCCCAGCTCTGGCTGCAGTGCTCGCTTGTTATCAGCAACGAGAGCCACAGAGGTGCTTTTCTCAGCATAAACTCTTCTTCTCACACCTCTCTGACACTGGAAATGATCAGACATGATGGTACCAAATGTAAAACTGATTGGACCAAATATAACTCATTCAAAGTGTACCCAGAAATTTGCAGCCTAACCCCCATCACAGGCTCTGATTTGGGGGAGAGGAAGACATCCTTTTTTCTGGACCTCCTTCTTGGTTTTCAGAGGTGGCAGCTCAGAATACCCTACCATATTGTCCCCACAGCACAGGCAATGAAAGTGGGAAGCTATCTGCTTCCCTGTGTGGCCACTGCTACCCTCGGGCCAAGTCTGCATCAAGAGTATGGCTGCAGGAGGTGTACAGCATCCGACTGAGCCCTGCTGGAAGACAGGCACAGGGGTTGCCCTGGGAAGCCTAAGCATAGCTTAGCTGAGCACTCCCTGGAGATTCCATTCACTTTCCTTTCCCATTTAGAGAGAAAAAGAAACACCCTGTAATTCAACTGTAAGAGAGCAAACTGAGAATGTATACCCCCAAAACAAGTCTGAGAGGAACCTTTGTTCAACACACTGGTTTCCAAGTTCCATGGATGAGAGCTCTGATGCCATGGGTCCCAGGCATCCCTCACTTCACTGAGCCCTCTGAGAGGCCAGTGGGCCAGTGAGAAGAACTTTTGTGACTTTGATTCCAGGGAAACATACCATCTGCTGCATGTATCGTAGTGTTACCATGACAAGTATATTGAAGAGCCCATACCTGGAGAGCCTCTAGCCATGTCTTCTGAGGCTGTCTGCCCAGATGTTCAGAATGACTCCATGTGGCCTTCCCAACTCACTCCTTCTTGGGGATTTCCCCATGCCCATTCTAGGTGCGCCCACCCCGTCCACATGTTGTCAAGAGACCCAAGAGCAACATCACCGTGGAAGGCCGGAGGACATCCATCTCAAGCCCTGAGCAGTGAGTACCATTCCAAGAACCCAATGGGACAGAACTTTGTAGTGAGCAAGCATGCAGTCCCAGCCTTCCTCCTAGAGGTTCCCCTGCAACCCCAAGCAGGTGTTTCACAGAGCTCAGTTATGGAGCAGGACTTTGTCATTGGTGTCTGGTTGTCACATCTACAAGAGGCACATAGGCTAGGGAGCAGGGAACCTGGGATGCCTTTGAGTGGTGAGGCCCAAAGGGCACTAAGTCACACTCCCAAAGAAGGTTCACATTCTTACCCTGAAAAGGTAGAGTCCACAGGTGACAGCTACCTGGCCAAAGAGGTCACTGTCATAGGCCTACTGGTCCTCATGGTCTCCATTGTTCAGGTTTATACACAAAAAAGCCTCACCTTTGGCCTCACCTGGGGCTTCTGCTCTCCTGTACCACACTGTTTGTACTGTTAAGGCTTTGCCTCTTGATAACCCCTAAAGCCCAGAGCTCCTCAGGGGCAGGCCTGGGGTGTCTAGGACCTAGCCCAGAACCAACACAAGTCATATCCTGAGTTGCTGTTGGGCAGATGAGGTGACTGAGTAGGGCCGGGTCAAAAACTGCAGAGAAATTTCTCTAGAATTATATTCTAGAGAAAGTAATAACTGCTTCTCCTTGTCCTGAGGTACATGGTCCTTGGGTTCTGCCCAGACAACTGTGCAGCCACCCATCAGCTTCCTGGGGTATCTTTAGAAAGTTCATGAATACATCTTGGCCTAGGATTGTTGGAAGAATCAAGGAAATTAGCCTTTTGTATGGAAGGGAAGAATATCCCTCACCTTGTGGCCTGCTTTCCAGAAATTTCTCAGTGAGAAAGAAATTGGGAGAGATGTCAGCTCCTGGCCAACACTGGAGCCAAGAGGAAGTAGGAATCCTGGAATGTCAGGCTGTGATCTAACCCAGGTGCATTTGAGCTCTCCTAGAATCCTCTGCTTTACAAAACCAAACTTCCTAAATGGCCTTTATCCAAAGAACACAAGAATGTAAGGGGTGTGTGTCTGTGTGTGTGTCTGTGTGTCTGTGTCTGGAGATGCTGGGATATGTGAGATTTGGAAGCTAGGATTCCTGAAGTTGGGTGCAGATTTAACTTGTGCTCCACACTGCACTGTAGGATGATGTGAATTCAGGACAGCTCCCTGGCCATAGATTATGACTGCCCCCTTGTGGAGAGAATGCTGCATGGCACCCAACTTCCTCAGACCCTAATAAGCCTTTTACAGTGTCCTGGGATAGAGGCCACCAACCTGTAGATACTGAGCAGTAAACCCAAGACGCTTGCGTGGCATAAAACACCCCAGGCCAATAGTGGTTAACATCCTACAGAAACATATCCCCCAGTTTGTGGCCAGGGTCCTGATTAGAGATTGGACTCACCACGTTTATTTATTTATGCTGTTTCTGTTCCAAACCTAGTGACAGGGGATGGCTCTTTACTGTGTGCAAAGAGCCAGTTGTGTCAAGAAGACTGTTTTTCCTGGTAATTGCCTAAGCCATGTCAGTATCACTTTTAGTATCTTTTTGTAATGTGCCCCTCTTAGATCTCTTTTCAGGATCGTCAAGGGTTGGGCTGGTTCAGGAGGTTGGAAAACAACAGTGATAGGAATTAAATGACAGGTCTTCTGTGACCATACCTCACAGCAGCTCAGACCCGAGAGGAGGCAGCGAGGTACGTTTGGGGACGTCATTGTTAGGGCTTCTTTTCACATTTTCTTAATGAGGAGGAGGGGAGGCTCTACTCCCATCATGCCAGTGACATTTCTGGTGCCACCCGGGTGTTTTCCTGCTTCTCTTCCATGCTGCCATCCCCCCGCCCCCCATGCTCCTCCACTTCCAAATGCCATGTCACAACAGCACTTGGATGTGTTTTTCTCAGCTGTCATCAGCTCCAGCTGGCAAGACCAACTTCTTGAAACACAGGAAGCATCCAGCGGAAAATATTTTAATAAAACAGACTCCTCATAAAATATTGTTCTTGGGGGGAAGGAAACCAGCGCCACCAATCTGTCATCATTGTGTTGGGATTGTTGAGAAGACAGGCCGGCAGGCAGGAGCCAGTCTCTAATGGGCCTTTGTCGGGGGTGGTTCCGGGTGGCACACATGGACTCGGGGTCTAACCCCTTCATCCACTCTGGTTCTTCTTGAATCCTGGGTCTTGTTCTCTGCTGGGAATATCAAAGTGCACTGGAAGCTTAGAGGATGGGGGCTGTAGTTGAAAGGGTGATTCAGTCCTCTTGCCTGCTAGCCCCAACCCACACTTCCAGTAGTATATTCTGTAACTATCTCTGGACAGCAAGATTGGGCCTGTTAAGAGAGTGTCCCAGCAGCAGCTGAACATTCTGAGGTTCACCAAGGTCAAGCGACAGCCAGCAGCTCTCTGGTCAGTTTGATCTTGAAGTTCATTCCTTCCTTTCCAACTAATGTGTGTCTGTCCATTGCTCCTTCTGGGTACTTACATATCCATTCATTCAGCGGTGTTAGGTGCATGCCAGGCAGTCTTTGGAGGGCATTCCCATGGTGGCTCTTCCATTGACTTGCATTTGCCCAAACTGAAATTTCCTTCCTGAATTAAGGGTAGGTTTCTCAACCCCTTAAGGCCATTTGTTGGTACTTGAAAGAATACGTCAAAAAATTTCTGGGGAAACATTCTCTGTTTTTCAATTACCACTCACTGACTGGCATGAAGTTAGGGGCAGAAGAGCCCGAGTTCAGTTCCCCAGCACCCACATAAAAGCCGGGCATGGCAGCACGTGTCTGTAACTGTAGGCCTGGGAAAGTGGAGCTCGCTGGTCAGTGGGTCTAGCCAGTCAGTGACCTCTGAGTTCAGTGAGAGCACCTGTCTCAAAAAGAAGATAGAGAGTAATAGTAAAAGACACCTGTTACCAGCCTCTGACCTCCACACGTGCACACACACACAAAGTTAATTGTTTCTTCTCTCCAAGAAGCATCTGTGCCTTCCATTATTATTCAAAGCAGGAAAGGCCTGGATTAGATGGTAGTCAGCAAGAAGTGCAGTCAGGGCCCAAGCTGTATGTCTGAGTTTCTCTGGTCTGGCAGTCTCCTGTTCCACACAGACTGCATTTGACTCTTGCTGGGGCCCTGCAGTTGAAAAGTAGCAGGGCCAGATGAGCTCTGCCTTCTCGTCCTCTTCCATGGCATACTGCTACCCTCCTGGGCACGGGACCTAATGTGTCTTTTTGTAGTCTAGGTCTGCCCATGTCCTAACACAACTTGCCCAGCTTTCCAGCCCTCCTCCCAGGTTCCTGGAACCTAGAGTTGGGAACTAGATCCCCTCAATTCAGCTGTCACAGAACAGTCATCTCAGGAACCTGGATGTTTCTCCTCAGAGGAAAGGAAAGCAACACTAACTGAATACAATACCCTTTAGGACAGTGACAGGTTGGTGGGGGTATTCCAGATTCTTGATGTAGAAGCTGAGGCTCAGGGTGAGGCTTTTCATAATACCCAAGTCTGAGTCATGGACTGGTAGGCTGCCAGTTAGTGAGAGAAGACTGGTCCTGGCTTCTCCACCATCCTGGCTTTCTATTCAGAGCCTCGTTATACCTCTGCAGCTACTCAGCTGCTGTAGAAAGTGCAAAGGGGGTCACACCTCCCCTTGTGAGAAGTGGCCTTGATTCCCAGCCAGAGCATGCCTCACTGCCCAGCCCCAAGGTAGTTCCATCCAGCTCACCAGGTGTGGGGGATTCTCCATTTGACTTGCTTCTCAGCCAGAGCCCATGGCCGCTCCAAAAGGCAGCATTATGATCAATCCTTCCCCCTCAGGACCCCACACTGAGACTGAGGCAAGATTCCAGTGTCCTCTCATGTTCCCTACTAGGAGAAGGCGGTGGGACCAGGGCATTAGTCCTCACTGAGTGGGTGAGAGTGTGGAGGAAAATGTTGTGTGTACAGCCCCTCGTTCCTCTTCATAGTACAGTAGGAGGGCTACTCTATGAGTCCTGAGGTTAGGACTGGCAAGTGGTGGTGGACCTGAAGGGCCCTGTCCTGGTCACCTGCCCTCTGGGCTCTCTGGGCTCTCTGGACTGCATGCTTTGTCTTCTAATGGGTGTAACACACACCCTCTAGTCACATGTGGTCTCACCTGGCTACATCCTGATTCCTTAAGTTTCATTGTACTAAGGAAGAGGAACCCAGATTTAACCACTGGAATCTGTGAGCCATGGCTCTGCTCACTTCTCCCACAAGCAATTGTTTTTGTCAGAATAATGCAGTAGTCTTAGAGACAGCCTAGAAATCAAGGGAAAGAGATAAGTTCACTCTGAATCCTACTACTCTGATTCAACTATGTATGAGCATTTGTGTCAATTCCCTTCCAGGCTTTGTCTATATATGTTTCTGGAGCTCCACTGTCTTTTTGCTATCCAATTGTGGACTTGTCACTTGTGTTTTGGTAATCCCTGTCATTTGTGACTGCAGAAGATCCCAGTCTGTGTATATATGGAGTCCTACTTAGGTCTCCACCCATACTACTAGATCTTTTTTTTTTTTAATGTGTATGTATGTATTGCCTGCATGTAGGTAAGTGCGCCCGTGTTGTGCAATGCCTGCGGAGGACAGGAGGGGCTGTTGGATCCCCTGGAACTGGAGTTATGGACAGTTGTTAGCTGCCATGTGGGTGCTGGGATTCAAACCTGGGTCTTCTGCAAGAACAGTCAGTGTTCTTAACTGCTGAGCCATCTCTCCAGCCCCCTAGATCTTTAGATTTTGTTACCAAGGTTTCACTTATATGAAAAAATGCCAGGGTATGTATCTCTGCTCTCTGAACTTCTTCTCATGTCATTGTAAGAAGTGGAATTAATACTACCATTCACTGAGAACCACATGCTAAGCACTCTACTATGGCATCTCATTGCATCTTCACTAGAAATTGGGATATGGGGAACATGAGCTCTATTTTATAGAAATGGCTGAAATGCCAAGAGGCTGGCCCTGCCCTTGGTCTCACAGCTAGATAGTAGCAGAGCTAA